CAGCTTCATCATTGTTTCATGTCTTAATACTATCATGCTTTCTAAACAAACTATAGCTGAGAAATGACTTGGGTTTCCTATTTTGTTTTGACATAGTGTTACATATTTTGAGCAGTGCAAATGGTGCACGTCTTTATATGTATTGAGTGACAAATGAAAAAGGTAAAAAAATTGCTTCTTCTGCATTTATAAGGAAAAAAAAAGTGATTTTGAAATATGCACTTTATAACTTCCAATGCATCTACCACCCTAAGATGTCATGAGAATTAGAGGACACCAGCATGCTGAAAGAGAATTTCCCTGTGCTTCAGTATGGAGCTCAACTTTTAAACTCCTTTGGAGGTCTTGCAATAAATAGTGTAAACGCAAGTAATCTCTAGAATATGTGTTGTTTATTCCAGAAGAGCCATTTGGTTCCATTATGTCATTGCTTGCAAGAAGAAAAAGGGAAACTAAAATCTATCATCTTGACCTGGGCAAGTTTAATAGCCCAGGAGTTCAACAGCGTTAGCTCAGCACCTAATAGGGACCAGGCCCTGACGGCAGCAAATGGCGGAACTCCTCAAGGGGCCTCCTCTGTCAGCAGTGAAGAAGGCAAGCCAGTACGGCCTGTCTGTCTGTGGAGGGAGAGGTCACACGTCTGTGCCTGGGGGAGATGGAGGCCGTGTGGATGCAGTCTGGGAGCACTGCACGTGTGGGGCAACTTCTGCAGGGCTGGGGCTGACCAAGGCCTTCGAGGAGACCCTCTGGGAACGAAAGTGGGGATGTGCTGCCTCATCAGAGCCAGGCATGCTGCTGATTCAGCTTCCTCCTGCTTTGAAGAGTCTTCAAATGAGACCAGTTTGGGCCCAAGTCCCAGTGGGGATTTATTGAACTGCAATCTAGCGTCGGTGCCAATGCGAGCTGAGGACAAGGTACCACATGGAGGAGGGCTGCCAGAGGAGATGGGTAGGCTGAGACACATCAGTGGTTGGGAGAATTTCATCAACACAACGGACCTCCAAGTCCTCCAAGGACAGCCAAACAAAGGTGTTGGAGACACAGAGCAACGCCAGCGGGGAAGGAACAGGCCCTGCTTCTGAGGCAGTGCCCATTTCAGGCAGCTCACCTGAGCTCCTGGGGCTGTTACCTGTTCACCTAGACAGGCACTAAGAATCTGGCCAAGAATTAAGGTTAACTTATCAAAACTGAGTATCCAGTTCTTGGAGCAGGGATGATCCAGGTAAGATTTTCTTCATCCAAGGCAAAGGCATTCGAGGGCCGTATCTCCTGTGTAGGCAACAGGGTTGCACAGATGGGGTAGCTTCATTGGCCCTGGCCATCTAACATTAGTACTGTGAACTGCTGGATACATCCACTTACCCTTTTTGTGCTCCTGTTGACTAAGCAAGCTAGAAGGGTTCAAACGAGGATCAAGGGGGCCTGATGGTGAAGCCCCACAGTACAAAAATCACACAGGGAACTTGCCAAACAGCCAATGTTATACTATGTTCCTATCCCAACACACGCCTACATAGTTTGACCCCCTTACCCCCTTTACCATGGTGTCTCTTGTTTTGCATGATTGCTCAGAAAGCTGTGTCCATCTGATCTTCTTGGTTTGTGTTTTTGTCCAAGTTTTCTCTCCCCAACATCGTATGTTGCACTGTTGCATAAACAAATTTTCTCAATGTGAACAGAGGTATAAACAGTAGAAAAGGCAAGATTATCAAAATAGAGTGAGAAATTTAAAAGGAAGGTCTGAAGAGCATCCTAAATGCAAGTAATATGGGGCCTTGTAACACTTAATATGTTCTCGAGATTATGAGAACTGCAGAGATCTTGCCAAATAATTTGAGACTGCACTGTTTGTATAGGAGAATAAAATGCTTCAAAAGAACTGTCAGGGAAAAAAAAGTGAAGTGTTGATGAGGATGAATATATTTATTTTGAAGTGCAGGGTACAGGAGATACGGGTGATGTGTCTGGTAATTGTACCATGGTGAGAAGGCACAGTCCTAGCAAAAGGAAAGAGGGAAAAGGAAAAAAAAAATGATGGACTTGAAAAAAACAGATTGATATAAGATAATATTATTGATAAGAATTATTTCATAAGAAACAGACAAAAGAAAAGCATTATCAGGAATGACCAGGTCTATGTATAATTGAAATGAAGGTCGTAATACGTCCTTATGCAGAAGTAGTATTAGGGAGGGTAGTAAGAATAACTGTCAAATAAGAGCTCTTTAGTGTCCTCAAGTTCACAAAAGAAGCACAAAGACAGACATAAGTAGGTTACACCGCTAAAGCTGACTATATAGCATAGACAAATACCAATAAAATCAGAATTATGGAAATGCAACAACCAGTGCAATGAAGATAATATGAAAATACTTTATAAGTGCATCGGTAGGAGTTCCATTGCTCAGGAAATATTGTTTGTAAGAGCCTGTTCTCAGTAGCACTGGGAAGTCTCACCAGGGAGAATCTGGGGCACAGCTCATCATCAAAGGTGGAGAGTGACTGAGCAGCATCCAGGGGACAATAATATGAATGAGCAGATGTCCGGAAGTACCATGATGGATTACCTATGGAGACTAGGCGTGGCCATTATTTGAATTTTTTACAAGCATGGAGGTTGGGGGTGTAGCTGATTCTGCCTCAGGAGAAGGAAAGGAGCTAGATAACCAGAAACTTGAGTTTCCATTAAGCATTATTTTTCTATGTCTTTTTTTTCCTCTGCTGGTGCTAGCTCATTTTGACCCAGATTGATGATGTTGTGAAAAGATCGTGCCCTAATTGATCCGTAAAAGAAGTATTTCCGAGACAAGGAGAAAGGCAAAGAAGCTGAGGTTGGGAAGGTCCCATTAGTTTTGAAAATGGACAAGATATGTGGAGAGACATCAGGTGAATGGAAACAAGAAGTAAAAGTATAAAAGACAACGAGAAAACATGAAAAAGGAGCGAAGGAGGAATGACAAAGCTGATAAATGGGACGAGTGAAAAGGATGTGACTAATGATATAAGAAGAGTTGTTTCTGGAAAAACTGACTCGTTGAACCAATGATTCACAAAATAAACACCTGGATTTTTGCCTTCTTTTCAGCAGATTTACTCAGGGAAACAGCCGGCTCAAAGCACCAGTCTCACTGCTGAGTTTCTTCTTGTGATTTTATCTGTGGCACGGTGTTATGACTGTTGTAAAGCCTTAAGTGCTTCTGGACTTTGTAATGTATTTGACATGGGAGATTTTTTTTTTTCTTGTGTGGTTACAACCTGTAAGTAGTTGCTCTGTGGCTGGGAAATTATTTCAGCCAGAGAAAGACACTAGGGATGAGCTGGCTTACCTCTTCCAGTGACTTCAAAAAATACAGGTGTTCAATTAAGCATATTATGTACCTTAAATCTGTATTTCTAGTACCCCACTGCACTTCCTAATAATTGGACTTGCAAGCAGACACTCTAGCAGTTGAAAGAAAAACACCTAACTTGTTTATGAGACTCTGACTTCAGACATCAAGACTAGTTATTCTGCAGTTGTCATGTACAGGAGGGGTAGAAACGGCATTAGGAATTTGTTTCTGTGAATTTGTTACTGCAGTATGAATGCTGGCCGTTTCAAAATCTATACTTCATGATGAAAGAACTTCTCATTCATATCCAACTAATACACAATTAATCTGCATGCAAGTCAAAGTCAGTGTATTTCCAAGAAAGTTCAATGCCCTCTCCCTTATTATGATTACTTTGAAATCTTCAACAATGAGTTCTAACGCTTTAATGGAAACTTGGTTTTGAGCTGTGCTCTAAAGATAACTCACTGTTAGCCAGCAGCTTTGAGAAAGTCTGAATCATTCCGAGTGCATGAGCAAACGCAGAACAGTTGCGTTTGAAAGCGTGCTGAAAGCACAATCTGGAGGCTTTTTCTTGGAGAAACAAATGCCGATTTCGAGGGAAAAGCGCGGTCTGAAGCATAAACAGAAAGCTCACCTTTCCCAGAATTGTACTCCTTCCAGTTGTAATCGATTCTAAATGCTCCTTTCTTAGGATGCAAAATACTTAATGTGCTGCACAAATAATTTAACAGTGTTCTAGAGCAATCTAATGTACCGAGGAAATTGAAAGCAGAAGTTACAACCTGGATAAAAAGTAACATTTCATGAGAGAATAAAAGAAGCCGGTTCGAAATTTCTGAAATAAGCATAATATTAAAAAGTGAGTTAGCAGAAAGCATGACACTTGAAGGATTATGATTTTTTTAAAAACTTGTTTTTTCCAAATGGGTTTTGTTTATTATTTAATTTACCATGGTCCTTTACAGTCCAGCTGGTTTCAGTTCCCCTTAATACAGGTTCTTTAATGCAGAGACTAGCAGGAACTGATGCCCTTGGAGGGCTGAAAACCCAGAGAAACATGAAAGCTGACAGATGAGGGAAAGGCATGATTACATCCATTATGAGATGAGTATCTGGAAATGGGTCAATAGAGCTACTTGGTCAAAGTTACTCAAAGTGAATTTGTGGCAGAGCTCAGACAGAATTTGGACTTTCTGAGTTGGTACCTAACAAATTATTCTCATTATTAGGCTGGGTCCTTCCCATGCACAGATCTTTTGTAAGAACAAGTGACTCATGTCCAATTTTTGCCTTCTGAGTAGGAATTATCCCTGAGACTAGCCGAGTAGCAAACGTTGTCTTCACCGAGGCCCATGCCTTCTCCTTTCCAACTCCTCTCCTACAGAAAGGACATCTTTCCAACCCATGCCCTGAATGTTCATTTCTCACAGCCTCACAAAAAAAACCAAAACAAAACCAAACAAACAAAAAAAATGAATTCAGAAAGAAAAGTCCCAAGGGATATAAAAATACAGAAGGCTGTAAGTTATCTCGGCGCTACATTGCTTCCCTACATGGCTGCCGTTTCATACCACACCTAGTCATTAAGAATCAATAATTCTCCACGCTGTTAATGTTTGAGCCGCTGAACCTCTAGGGCGAGTCTGAGGAACTATAAACTGTGTGGAGAAGCACAGGCGGACACGGCCAACCTGTGCAGAGGTGATTCCCACTGCTGAAAGGAAGAAGCATTTTTAGAGCAAAATAAGCTTTTCTTGTTACAGGTAAGGGATGATTTAACTGTCATTTCATGGGAAGATTTGGAAAGCTGTAGCTAGGGCTTTGTGGAAGGTTTTTCTGGCAATCTTAGGAACTCAGCTGTCCTTGTAAAATGGATGACTGCTGTGCTAAGGCTTAGTCTGGTTTGTATTTGATTTGGATCAATTTCCCCTGTTTCCTCTTTATTGAATTTAAACATCTGAAATCAATCATTGAAAGAAAATCAAAATATTTTTTTTCATGGAACCAAATACTTGTGATTGTTACTGATCTTTAAACTCCAAGAATATTGTTTGTGCTCTGAATGCTTATTATTGAAAGACGCTGGGATATTTGTATGTTGGTTATCCTAGAGATTTCTGTTCAGGCATGGGAACCATAAGGGATTATTAGGGACATAACACTGAGATGAAACTGAGAAATGAAGGGGAAAATATGGCTCCAGGCCTCAGCCAGATCTCAGGCTGAGATCAGTTAAGCTGATCTTATTCTAATCCTGAAACTGTCTCTTACTGAAAACTTTTGTATGACTTTATATATACACAAACTCTATTCTGAGTGACTGAGGAGTATGTATTTTGGGGCTTTGGTCCTTGGCAGTGTAATCCTTACTGAGACTTGGTAGCAGCTTCCAGGCAAAAATGAGTGTTCAAGGGCTGATCAAGCCACTCAACCTGGCCTTGCAACAGCACAACAAATGGCACGACATTAGGGAATCTTATTTATATTCAAAGAGAAGGGAACAGCGATGGCACTTACCATGTGAACCCATAACCTGCAAAATGGCTGTATTTCCACTGCTCGTCCTTTTTGTTAAAATCTCTAAGTAGTGAGAAAGAAAGATTTCATTTTTGAGGAACCCATCTGGTTTCCAGGAGGAGGTAATGCAAGTCACTGCAGCATGGGCTCAGCATATTTTTTTGTTTTAAATTTGAGGCAGGCAGTTCTCCTTGGGCTCTGAAATTTCATTTCTGGTAGCCATATTGTTTTAAGGGGTGCAGACACCTCTAGCTTCCTCTGCAAGCTTGATCAGTCGGGTTTTTTGGTAACCAGAAGACAGAGGCCTCAGGATGGTTCTAGCAAAACCTTCATCTTCTTGTGGTTATAGTGTTTCCTGTGAACGTGTTGTTGCCTTCAGTAAAGCAGAAATGAAAACTGGTCTTGCATGACACAGGTACATTGCAATGGGGAGGTTGCGTGGCTTGAAGTTGTGTGCCACTTTCAACATCTGACAGCTGTTGGGGGCTTTCACAGCATGTGGCAACTCCTGCACCACTGCGGACAGACCTGACGGGCTCAACCTTCCCAGCCAGCCCGGTGACCCCAACTCTATGAGGTTAAAGTGACTATCACCTCTTCTTTGCAGGAGCTGAAGCAAAGCATATTCCAGTATGTTTAAGCTGTGTGGACTTCAATTTCTGCTCATCATTCACTTGGTGAGTTACAACCTTTCCTTTGTTTATCTGGGAGCAAATGGCAAAGGTTGCCTGAGAGCCTCTGAGCTCCAACCTGCCAGGCATCCCAGTCTGTGGGTCAGGCTGGCAGTGTGGGCCAGCAGAAGGGCTGTAATGCTGGGTGTGGGACTGTGGCCTCGACACGTGTGTGACCCCGTGGCCAAAAGTTAAGAAGATGTGTTAATCGTAAGGAAAAAACTTTAAAAAACCTAGAAGAAGCCAGTTTAACGACTTAGACCCTTTAGTTCCTTCTTAGATATTACTTCTTCCAGCCAGGCTGGATGAGGCTTTGAGCAACCTGGTCTAGTGGAAGGTGTCTCTGCCCATGGCAGGGGGGTTGGAACTAGATGGTCTTTAAGGTCCCTTCCAACCCAAACTGTTCTGTTATTCTGTGATTCTTTCAGCAAGTGGATTTCACTCTAGAAAAGATTTTAAAATGATCCAACAAATCACCAAAGAGTGAAGACATCTGTATCTTGTGTTCATGTGCATTATAATCCATAAATGTGCTGACATAGTAAATGTATTCTAAGACATATAATTGCACATAGTTTAAAACATGCATATTGTTATTTGTCCTCATTATTCCATCTATGTGAATCCCTTTTCAGAGGATTTTCTGCAACTGAAGAGTATTAATTATGCTATTCATGGACGTCATCTATTAAATTCAATAGATGTATTGATGTCTGTAAAGGTTACAGTGGTGGCTTCTACTCTGCAATTGATATTAAAAGAAAAGATAAAAAATTAGTCCAATTCAAGACTACAAAAAAAAATCCTCAGAATATGGAGACACTACAGATGGGGTTGAGGTGCAGTAGTGAGCACCTCCTTTTTCTTTCCCATTTCAAGAGTTGCTGCCCATGGGAGTGCTAACCCCCATGAAGCCATCCAGCAGCCATTACAGCCCCCTTCAAAAGTGATTCCAGGTGGATATGGTCCAAGGAGAAAGCCTTCCTTCCCCTTCAGGCCTCTAAGTAGTGATTCATGCTGTAGACATATGGTTAGAAATATTTATGGTCCACATAAAGTAATTTTAATCAACAGGAGGAGATATCTCTTACTTGCTTCATAGCCTGAACTTTGAACCTGTTGGGTTTTATAGCATTAGCCTTTGTTCCTCCACAGTGAGGAGCATGATCAAGCAAAACTCCTCCACAAAATGGCCCTGGGAAAAACCTCCAGGAGCCAGGCTGTCCCACCAGTGCTGTCGCAGGTCAGAGCCAGGGTCCTGCTATCTCGCCCCTGTCAGAGGCCAGCATTCAGCATTTAGTGAAAGTAGTGGCTGTAAAATACTCTTTCCTGATATACAAACCTATTACATGGTTTTTGGGGGTATTTTTTACTGTCAGTAGGATTCACTCTCATCCCTCTGCCTCCTTCCCCAGCTCTCACAATGTTCTAGTTTTCCTTTGCAAAAAGAGACACAACCACTTGCAGGAGAGGAAGGCAACATCTCTGGCTATTATTAAACAGAATATGGTGTTATTCAAACACCACTTGTGACACACACACACAGAGCAGTGCTTTAGGGTAAATTGTGCTGAACTTAGTTATGTTTTTGTCATAACCAGAATTAAGTTTTCCCTTGGTAATACGTAAACTGTGCTTTTCTGTGAGAGGCCAAATAGCTGTCCGAGCAGCAATAGGACCAAATCCAGGGGAAAAGTCATGCAGCAGAGAGCATTCACTCCCTGGATCCTGATTCCATGGAGTGATGGATAGGATGGCAATGGCGCTCCGAATCTATAAAGTGATCAATAAATAAATATATGTATTTATCTATAAATAAACTCTTTTTTACACCAGAAGAAAGGGAGTTTTACCTGTGCAGCCAAATGATGGAGCCCTAATCCTGGCAGGCAGCTCCTCAGCACTGCAAGACCTTGGTGTCAGGGAGAGAAGAGTAGAAATGTAGGGAGTTTGGTTTTGCCTTTGGAGAAAGAGGTAGATGAACCATAGGCTGAATTGTCTTGTGTGCAAGAGCTGTTCTAGAAGGCTGATTTTTGCTTTGATTTTTTTTTTGCTTAAAAGCAAGAAAAGCCCTGAAATGTTAGAGTAAGTGTGTCCAGAGGTCTTTGGACACTAGGGAGGGGGTGCTTATAAAATTCATTAAAAAATTTGCCAGAAAAAACACATGAAGGCATTGCCAGCCATTAGGAAGAAAACAGAGGCCAAGACAGATTTGCATGGCATTTTTGTCATGAGGTGAAAGCCCAAGATCAGCAGGATGTGTTTGCTCTGGCTGTGGTTTGTACTCACATGCTACCGATGTGAAGGCACAGGGCAGCTTGGCCAGACCGTCAGGGTGCTGAGGATGGTGGGGCAGGGGACCTTGGGAGGTCCACCTTACAAAAAGGGTGCAGTCCAAATTTTTCCCTATCCCCAGGTGCAGCACTGGGTCTTCCGACACGCTTGTGGCCACAGGGCTGGGAGGGTCCTGGATCAGACATGGCTGGTCCTGCTGGGGACACAGGGGTGATCCACAAATTCTTTTATGAATTTCCTATGGCTCTCAGTATACCCTCAGCTCTTCGGTGCTTCTGTTTGCTCTTGAAAATAGATCAAATCTCATTTAATTATGTAGTGGTTAGAAAAGGGAAGGGCGCAAAATGTTTGTTTTCAAATTAATTAATAAATAACACTGGTTTTAAAAATAGATGTGCACTAAAGGACCCGGAAATGCTCTGTGCAAACCAGCAAGTCTTCTCCATTATCTTGCGAGAGGCTCAGTGATAGAGAGCTGCTGTTCGTACATGGTGACAGCAGACAACCCTCAGCTGCTTTCCTCCATCCCTTTCTCTCTCTCCCACAGGCTATGTGCCAGCCTTTGGGGGAACTGCATGTAGCTGGGCCTCTGAAGGACATGGATTTCTCTATTCCAGAAGGAGGGGGAATGCGCTTAATTTACCAGGTAATCAAGCATCTCTTGCTATCCACTCTGGTCAAAAACCCCATAATTTGCACACACTGACCTCACAGAGAGAGAGTGTTATCATCTGTGCTGGTGGGAAGAATAGTCCCCTGAGGGAATCTGAAATTAACTTTGACTTCCTCTATCTGGGAATTCAGGAGTGTACATGCAAAAAGTACGAGACAACCCTTTCTCTCAAACACGCTTTAAGACGATATCCTAAGACAGGGATTAATAAAATCAGCATTCCTAGAGAATGGGTTTCCATGTAACTTGTGTCATCATTTTCCTTCAGCTCTGAGGTTTTCTTTCCAAAGCCATAACCACAGAAGGACAGATCCAGCTCCCAGGCAAATGGAGGATGTGTGTCATTTTTTTCCATTCCTATACTCAGACAAAGCCCTGTCCTAAGCAGACGTTTGCTTTGGAAAGAAAACACAGTTGGGATTTCCTGCAGCATTCAGGAAATAATGTGAAAACTTCTCTGTTGAGGATCAGAAAAGAGCAGATTTGTTTGAGCAGACTCTTGGAATATCATTCCCCCAGCCAAGCCCACTGTTGGCAATAGATTTTAGAAGACACGAAAGTATGAAATTATTTATATTATGGTGAAAATGCTGAAAAAAGGATGATTTTCCCTCTGATTTTTGACAATTCTAGTTCACATTAGACCCACCTGCTGTGAGTTTCAGAGCAACTGGTGAAAAAGATGGAATAATTGACATTGTGCCGAAGACAGGCATCCTGTATCTCAATGGGTCTCTGGACTGGGAGACCAAAACAGTGCACAGGCTGCAGGTAAAGACTCAATGAAAAATAGTTATTCATATTCACCCTTTCTTGGTAAACCTGAAATTAATGGAAAACTGTTGAAATTTCAAATTATTCATTTTGTGTATGTTTACAGGCACCTTTTCCTTTTTAATACTGAGCTTTGCTGAAAGAGCCATAGTTTTACAGTTCTGAAAGATTTTACACAGGAAAACATTCCTTAGCACAGCAAGGTTATGTTGAGAAAACAAAAATTACCCTGATGCCGACACCAATCCTTTAATAATATGAGGAGGACACTTGACTGGAAATGAAATCTGCCCCATGAATGAGATTTGCTTGCTATCCCTGAAGACCGATAGGTTGAATTCCATGGCTAGAAAGGGAAAATAAACTATTGTAATCTACTTAGGAAGATTATAATCTATTTAGTGACAAAAGTTGTGAGTAAATGACATTTATACACAGAGGCACTGATCTAACTTCCGGTAGATAACAGTAGAAAGCTGTTTGGCATATGTTGGGGGAAGTCAGAGAAAAGAGCACACTGTGTTTGTCCTGCTATTATACTCTTTTCATAACAATCTCATCATAAACACTGTTGAGAGCAGGACAGCTGGTACACAATCTTTTGGTCTCAATATAACCTTGTGCTCTTATTCTGTGTAAAAAATGGTACCGTCTTTTTCTGAAGCACTAGCTACTGAGAGGGAGATGATCGTGAGAGGATCAATATCAGACAAAGTACATGATGATGTTTTAGCTAGCCCTAGCTATCTTTCTGAAGTCTGGCATTTCAGGTTTAACGGTTTCTTGTTCTTAGCTCTAAAGTACAATTCGATTGGAATTAGAGACGACAATTTTCTAGCCACAGAAGTTATTAACCCTGAACATGGGAATCCTTTACAGCCAAGAAATGATGACAGAACTGAGAAACCAAATACTTGGTTAGGCATAAATAATCATGATTTGATCTATTTATGTGCAAATAAAATCAAGTCTGACAGACATAATATATACTTAGGGCTTTAAAGCCAAAGAAGGCTGAAAAATCAGAAGTCACATTGTTTGGAACAAAAATGTAATTGGAACTAAGAATTAAGGTTTCTTTACAAACCCTTAGATTCACCTATTTTTCTGGTTGATATTTACAATAGCATACTTGAGTTCACTATATCATGTTGGGTTTTACCCTTGTTTTTTAGAAAGTGTCTGTTTCTTTTGAAAAATAAGCATGAAGTCTAAGCTGTGCAAGAATACAAGTAGTCTGCTGAGACTGCAAGTGAGAATCACCCTCTGAAAAGTGTTATCAGAAGCAGGAGTAGGTTATTTTGTTCTGTTGGCATTATATACTGTGGTGAATTATTGACAGTGAGCTACTGTTAAACGTGTCCTTGTAGATGAAGACACACAGTGATGGCTCTCACCAGATTTGCATCACTGTAAGAATGACTTGGCATTTTATATCCTAATATTAATTTAATATTTTAATTTATCTGCATGAAAATATTTCTTTGTTCTTCTTTCTTTTTCCAAATTAAGGTGGAAAGTCTGGATGAAAAAGGAAAAGTAGTGAAAGGTCCATATGCTGTTACAATATATGTGGAGGATATCAATGACAACCCACCAGAATTTGACCAGATAAAGTATACTGGAGTAGTGAGGCAGAACTCCCGTCCAGGTAATCATGATGATAATTAATAGGAAGCTAGGCAGGTTAGTTAACAGGAATATAAAGTGGGTGCTATACTTCTACAAGCTGAAAAAAGATCAGTTTTCCTTCCCACAGGATTGTACAAAATAAGGATACAAGTATGTATAATATAATGAAAGGGCAAAGAGGTGACACTACATGGTGGAAATGGATGGGTGTAACCAGAAATATTTCTTAGTACTTGCTGCTTTGAAAGTATCAAGTTTGAGACCCATATCTTGAAATGAAACAAAGGACTCTGCCAGCAGTTATCACTGTGACTATGGACTCAAGAAGAAACTTTTGCTAAAGAATATGTGTATAAAACTCCATGTGGTCAGAAAACCACTCTGCAATATTTTACTGTATTCCTCAACTGCATCCAAGTCAAAAAAATTTTGAACGTTGCATTGGTGGTCAAAAGGCAAAAAATCACTTCTGTTACTATGCATTTCCAGAATATTTTTAACTGTATGATTGTTCTTTTAATTTTAACTGTGTGTAAGGCATTTTTCTCAAGCTGCTTTGGGTTGAACTCCTTTGTATAAGGACCGCAAAGCAGCCTTAGAGAGAGATAGCAGTGAGCTACATTCCAGGTGCAGGCACTCTTTGGCTGTAGATAGCTCTTTGAGTTAGCTCTGTCACCTTCATCAACTGGTCTTCACACGTATTGTGGTCCTACCAAGCAGAGCTGGCGGAGGGGGGACCTGTGGGGTGGTACAGGGTCAATGTAACCTCCACACACAAGCATGGTTTACCATGACAGACGCATTATGAAACAACAGCAGGTCGCCGTAAGCTGCCTTCCAGGCTTGAGAGTTCTGCTCGAATGGACTATGTGTTGAGGTTTCAGCCTCCTCCTATGACTGTTTCTTCTCTAATCTGAACAGGCAAGCCCTTCATGAAAGTCCACGCCACTGACCGCGATGATCCTACAACTCCCCATGCACAGCTAACGTACAGCATTCTCCATCATTTTCCCAACCCTTATTCGGAAATGCTTTTCCAGATCAATAACGTAACTGGAGAAATCTCACCAAGTAAGATGGGTATGTAAAAAGATTCTTTTTTGTCAAAAAGCAAGCGTGAGTTCTCGGGTGTACCTAGGAACAAAACAACAGCACAGCTCTGATGAATTTTGAGTAAATGTAGTCAGTGGGACAAACTTCACTGAAGCCCTGGTTTTGGGTAACTTCTTTTGTCCCACCAAATTCAAGAAAAGTTAGCAGAAATGGAGATTGGGATCTAAAAATACATTGAGAAGAAGATGGAAACTTTCACCCTCAGGTCTACATTGACTCCTATCTTGAGATTAATTCTCTTCCTTGAAATCTAGAAAACCAAAATCAGCAACATGAAAAATGCAGAGAAAAGCTATCCACATGATCCCAACTAAACTGCAGTGATTTAAAAGCCATGTCTCTTCTGCTGGGCTGTACAAGCGCCTTAGCTGGAATGCAGGCTGCTCAGTGCTGCATCTGCACTTCGTGAGACTCCCAGCACAGAGGTCTCATATGATTACGTCCACATGATGCTGTGCTGCATTTTTCAGAGAAGTCAGAGGAAATGGCTTGCTGAGATTTGGCACAGAGACCAATCTAAGGTGTGAGCCTGGAGCAGATGAAGAAGCATGGCGCATGTAGGAGGCAATGGGCAGGTGAACCATCTCCACAGCCTCAACTTCATTTCACTTGGCTCTTTCCTCTGTCTCTAGGCTCTTATTACTTAGATCCTCAAAAGCAGGACACCTTCACACTTGTTGTCACCGTGAAGGACATGGCAGGGATGACAATGAATGCTTTCACCAGCAGCGCTGATGTAATCATCACTGTGAAGGAGAGTTTGTGGAAAGCTCCCCCCACCATACGCATCCAAGAAAATTCAACCCAGATCCACCCTGTCAACATCACCGAGGTAGGGCCTTTGGCTGCTCCCTGCACCTCTCCTGACCAGGGTCTTCAGAAGGACTTTGGCACCTCCCAGTTATTTTTCATATGGTATCCTTTGGAAATGATCTTTAATGCAGGTCTAATTAACTTGCTGTTAGTATGAAAGTTAATGGTTTGAAGGTTACTGAGATACAGTCAATACAAACATTAGAGACTGGACTTTGCCCTTAAGTTTGGAAAGGGTGTTAGCACTGCCTGTGTGTGAGAATATCTCATAGATAGAGGAAACATTTGGAGAATTTTGTTACAGCATAATGACTGGAAGAAAAAGAGAGCTTTACAAGGCTATTTGCACAGTACGAAGGATAAAGCTCTTGAGACACCCCAAGGAAGCTCCCAGACAGACATGTGGCAGTTGGGTACCTCTGTGGAAGTGCTGCTCTTCTCCCCCAATGGGTTTCTTTGAGCACTTCTAACCTAGCTCCAACACCACAGGTCCTCCAGGCTTTGAGCAAACCAGGAGCTTAACCTATTGAAGGTTATTTTGAGGTTAGCTTCTCCCATCCACAGAAAGACGGGGCACCAGCTCCACTGCAACCCTGCTGTGGGCAGTCCCTCACACTCGGGGACATCTACTGTGACCTGTTTTGTGTGACGTAGCACACCTGCTATAGCAAAAGAACCTAGGAAGGACTGAAATTCCCTCCTTTGGCATCCTGCGTTCCCAAGGTATTCCTCTTTTCACTGTGAAAACGCAAAATATTTTGCCAGTAACTGCAGACCGGTAGCAATATACACATCTGTAAATATTAACTAACAGGCCAGCAGCCTTTCAGAAATGTTTGACTTTGAAAAATGCCTTGGCACTGACACCCCCCAGTGCCGTCATCCCTCGGATATGGCAGGATTCCTTGGATCCTGTTTTCAAGAGTAACGGTCTCGGTGCTGTTCCCACTGGCCTCAGTGACAGCCCAAGGGAGTCCAGGGTGAAAACAGGTGGAAGAAAAACTAACATGCAACAAGGGCTCGTATTCTGGGGTCAGTTGTATATCAATTTCATGTGGCAGCCAATGACATGTTGATTCTGCCTAGGGGAAAATGAAATGCAGTTGCTGACCTATAGTATAAAACGTAAACAGTAATACTGACTCTTTCATTAATTTGGCAGTCTGTTTGCTGCTTTACATCTTAAATCGGAAGGACCCCACTAAAAATTCTTCATCACAGACTTTGATCCATGTAAAGAGCACGCACACATCTGCGTACGTGCAGATAGGCACTGGATATTTGTTTTGTTGTTCCACACATCTGCAGCAGACTAACTAAAACAACAGGCAGGAATAGACAGTGTAAGGACATGGAATAAATTAGTGTCAAGACATTCAAATACATATAATGTTTTCTTTTCATATATCACCGTTTAGCTCTACAGCCCAAATCTCTTCCATAAAAGGTATGTCGTAGCCCATCTGGGCAGCTGGAGAAACTGAGGTAAAATGGCTTCACCACAACAATTCAGAGGGCAGAAGTGGATTACCAGTCTGGTTTTCTGCTTCTCTTCCTAAGAACCTGCCAAAAGGTTCATTTTCTGGATTATGAAGTGAACAGGAACACAATCTTTTCTGTTTGTGGTCCAGAAATGATTCCTGTTAAATCTCGATCTACGCTTCTGACTTCCTATCCTGATTTCTTTTTGTATTTTTAGGTGCACTCAAATGATCCAGATGTAATTTATGAGCTTTTTGAAAAAGAAAAGCTGCCTAGGCTCCCATTTTCCATTGATCAGAACGGGGTTATTTATGTGACGGAACCATTGGACAGGGAAGAAAAGGACTCTGTAAGTAAACACATAAAGCCTCACTGATGGGAGAGACCGTAGCAGGAAGCTGATTATTCGTGTGGGACTAAATATGAGAAAACTCACTAGAAAGGACAGAGGGGAAAAATAAATAAAAGCTTTGTTTCTTGTTATTTCTGTTTGGGAATGACTTGATAGATATGAAAACGCATTCATCTACTACACTGTGAACAGCCTTCAGTGTGGTACCCTACCACATTTCTGCACGGGTCTATCCTATCACATACAAAGAATCCCGTCTCTGTATGTGACAGATGAATTTGCAAAGTGACAAAAATTATACATTC